TTAATTATGAGCACCAGTCTGAAATACAGCCTCATGTTCTCCTTTTGATGTGATCTGAAAGAATCTCTGTTGAAGGCCATGGAGCTAAGATCAGAACCCAACCCACTGTATGCTTGCATAGTTGTACAAGAGCTAACATTAGCTTGTTTAAAAAAAAAAAAAAAGGCAAAAGTAGGTCTAAAGGGGCTAATAATCTGCTTGTTTGTAGTGGGGAATCACAAATACTATCTGCACCTGTAGATGTAGCTGATTGTGCTAATAATGATAGCAAGGGAGACCCCCTGCAACTAGCCCATGGAGAGTAAGAGCAGATTTCATAGGTGGGTGCTGACAGCAATGGTAGATTTCATGCTTCATCACAGATTAATAAAACAGGGAGGATATTAAAATGCTAATACTCATTAATACCTTTTTATGGTGTTTAACATTAAACATGGAAAATAAAAATGAATGACAGCCGGTAAATGGAACTGACAGTTGTGTTCAGGGTGTCTGAAGCTAGTGAGAACTAGCTGCAGGGAATAAAAGCTGTGGATGCTCCCCTTCCTGCTGTGGGTCAAGCCAAACAGCACCTCCTGGTACCTAGACTTTTGCAAGGTCACCTAAACTTAAACTTAAATAGACTCTTCTATTATTATAAAACATTTGATGACATTTTTTCTTTACCAGCCTTGGTCAAAACCATTATTTGCTGTGTCATATGAAAGACAGAGTCTCCAGCAATACTTATGTCTAAGAGCAGAAATCACAGCCCAGTGAAGCACAGTTGTGAAATTACTTTTTTTTTTAAGTTTAGGTTGTCAACATTTGCTTTCTTCCCCAAAACTCTTCTTGTGTTTCAGTTGGCTCCATTGTTCATTTCTTACTAAAGTTTCAATAAGCTTCCCTTCATCCCAGAGGCAGTTGCATTTCAGCAACAAGTAAAAGTTGGCCCTCTGTGGCTGTAATGTATGTAATGTAATATAATACGATATAATATGATATAATATACATAGAGACAAACTTAATTCTGCCATATCACAGGCTGTTCTAATTTCATTTGTGGTTAAAACTCACTGAAAACTTCTGCGTAGCTGTGTTTAAATATGAAACTTAAAGATCTAGGGTATTTTCACCTAATGTTCTTCACAAGTAAAAATTTTTAAGTCAGCATGAACCTTATCTGTGCCCTTGCTGTCATGCAAAAATCCCAGTAACACTAGGAAGACATCATAGTGCACAGGGTCAGAGGATAAAGGGATTCTAAAGGCATGGTACTGATTTCTCTGTGGTGGTGATAGTACTTGGTAAAGTTACAGTTGTTTGACCAAGTATCCACTTTTGTACCTTAACATTTTAGGTTTTAAATAAAATTAACCTTGAATATCCTATGTTTATAATGCCTAGGTCTGAGTCTGCAGTCTGCAGAGCTGACTGCAAATGACTGATGTGTGCTCTGAGCTATTAGGTACATTTAATATAGACTTTTCCAGGGGGTTTCTTTGTTTTTAAAAATTTTATCTTCTCTTGAATTCCCAGCTGTTTCTTGCACATGCACGATGAATTTCAACTGCCCTGTTCTCTTCATTTCCCCAATGTATGCACTGTCTCTTGCCGACATCCCCCTTTGTTGTGACCTGCTGTGTGAGTGGAGGATTCCATTCCCAGATATAATTTTAATTTTTATATGGTTAAAATCCGGTCAGAATCAACCCCTTTCAAAACTGCTGCCATCTCCTGTTGTTCTCACAGGACTGAAGCCACATAAGGTGCTCCAGGGATTAGTCCCTCCTTCCTTTACAAGCAGCAATTTAACGGCACTCTCAATCTTTGGCTGTTTAATTGAAAACCTACTACTTTCTGTCAAGGTGAAAACAGACAGATAATCACGTCAAAAATCAAATTTTGGGGAATGAAAGATCACAAAAAAGGCTCGTCACTTGAGCTGGAATTTATGAAAGCATGTTTATTTTGGCAAATGTTTCTCAAAAGCAGGTTCATTTTTATCCTCTCTACCGTCTGGATTTTCCTGTGAGGTGTCAGAGCATGGTTATTCTGATTTGGCTTAGAACTGGATTTCTGCCAAAATTTTGTGTGTGTGTGTGTGTGTGCCCTCCTCTCCTTCTGCCCATCCTCCCACTTTCTTTCTCCTGGTCATAGTAGATTTTCCTCGTCATAGTAGATTCACCTTGTGTTGATCTTAGTGGGTATTTCATTCTTACGTCTTGGTGCTAAAGAAAATAACAAGCTTAGAAACCAGGGTGACGCCACGTTGTGAAACCTGAAGAGAATAAAAAAAGACTGCTTTCTTCAGCATATACAGTCTTACACTTATTTCTTCTTAATATAGGCACATGTAGTTCAGGATTTGATTATAAGAATTTTTAACACACTAGACCAGAAACCTTTTTGGTGTGTCTTCTCCTGAATCTACATTACAGGCTAGTTGGTTCTTCCAAACTCCTGCTAATTTTTTTTCTCTCAATGAAGGGTCTTCAGTCCTATGCCTCCTTTGATTTAAATTCCTTTCCTAGTCCCAGCCAGATGTTTGGTTTCCCCTGCTGTTGACAGATAATATTCTCACGCTATCACTTCGTATATCCACATTTGCAAGATCTGTCACAAAAAATTCTCAAATTTTTGTCACCAAGTACCTTACTGCATATTTTTTTATACTTTCCAAAGGCAATTTCCTTTAATATCGCGTATAAATTCTGCTTAAACAGCAAGCAAAGACAAACCTTCCTGGTTTTCCTTTTCCAGTAAGAAGGGTGTGTTTCTGAGCCACATCTTATGGATGACCCGGAGATTTACTCCAAAGGAATGTGGCTAGCACTTCAGAGAATTGCAGGAAAGCTTTAGGAGTTTGGCCGAGAAAGAGTACACCATCAAAAACCAGGCAAAACTTTGTCTTTCCCCCTTTCTACCGCTTTCATTTCCTACCATGTTGTGTTGTCCTCTGCATCAGACTATTTAAGACTGCCAAATACTTGGATATTTTATAGGTAATATATCTTATAAATGCCATGGCCAGCCTCTGAGGGAAACACAGGATTGTCGGTTTTGGATGGAGTATAAAACCCAAGCAGGAAATCATTGCTGAATGGCACAGCTGCGGGCAAACATTGTAAGCTAGTAAACTGCCCATCTGCACAGCCACACGTGTGTCGGAGCGCAGGGCCAGGACGGCCGTGGCAGAGCGCGTCTGTAAGTGGTTAGCAGGGAGAGATTTGGTGATTAAAGAATGAAGTGTTTTGCTTCATTAGTTCCTGAAATACAGCTATCTGAAGGTGATTATAATCTTATTTTCAAGAAGGAGGAGAGACTGAAGACTAGAGCTTTTCCTTGTCTGTAATAAAAAATACAAGCAGAATTTCAGATCTGGGATGGGTTAGATCATCCCACTACAGGACGGAGGATGTGACACAACCTACAGTTGGGGACTGAAGGAGAAGTTTGTCAAGAAAAAGGAAAACGCTGTATTTGTTCATAGGGCTGAACTGGTGATCGCATCTGAATCATCCCATCAAAGTTAGAGACAGGAAAGACTGTTTTGGTCCTTTTTCTGTTTCACTATCATTGACCTGAACAGGAGCCTGGGCAGGTTATGAGCTGTATGTTTCTTAAAGTTTGAACAGTTTAAGATCTCCCTTTGCTAGAGATATTGCCAACCAAAGTCACTTTCAGGAGACTCATTCTAGTACTTTCCTTTTTTTAATTTAACCTATAGTTGGTTCCCAATTTTGCCATCTTTCATTCTAAATAACTCCTCTTTCTTTGTGGGTTATCGTTTGTTGAGTTCCTCTAGCCAAGCTCTCTGTGTTAGTTCTTCCAATCCTTCCTCTGAAGTTTAGCACTTCCTCTTATACATGCCAAGTTTGAGTTCATTTTCCGCATGATTTTCCCAAGCACTGTTTTAAATAATCCGCAACTCAGTAACTAAATGCAGATTCTTAAAATAATGAAACAACAACAATAAAGCTCTTTTAAGACTACATCTCATGCACTCCAACTTTAAAAACTGTTGATTTGGGTTTTTTTTCCAAATACTTTATTGAAAAATAAAATTATCTTCTAATAGTCAAAATTAAATTACCAGTGTTATAATCCCATTGTATAGTAGATCTTTGTCTATTGGGAAGTGGTTTTTTTTGTTCATTGTAATGTATATATCAGTGTAAGAGGAAAGATAATCTAGTGATCAGGGTCCTTAAGGCATAGGTGGCTTGGGGTCAAGTCCCTGCTTTATCACAAACCCCTCTTGACTTCTCTGCCTCCTACTATTGGGGTGTCAAAATGAATATAATAAAAGTTGAAATCTTACGCAGGGAAGATGGGTGTATTGCCAGCTGAAGCCTTTGGAAACTTCCTGTTGACTGATGTATTTTGGATTGGGGCACCTAAAGAGCGTGAAACTCTTGGGACCTAAACTTTTTAAAATGTATTGATTTCTCTTGGTTAAAGAACAGAGTAAAGTGTTCTTGATGTTTCTTGTGAGCAGGAAGACATCATTAATGTCTGTGTCATAAATAGTTTAATTTAAGGATCAGATTTTTCAGATATCCCTTTTTTTGGTCACAAAGAAAAGGAGCTGCTTTGTGTTTTCCTCTATAGGCACTTTATTTTCTCTTTTCCTGTCAATTGATGCCATTTCTTAAGACACATAAAGTAGATTTCAGTTGTTGTCGTTAGGATGTTGGTACTGTTCTGCATTCCATCTGCACACAAGCATGAATTGCAGGGTGATGCCATATTAAATTATAGGCATCTCTGTTAAAATATAGGGGAATTAGTTCTAAAGATGAAGCTTTTTCCTTATGTTGAATCTTCCGTATATTGTAATGCATTAAGGAAGCATGTGACTAGTGGACAATTTCTTACTGTCAGATATCTTGGAGAACCTGGCGTTTTGATTTGTTCTCATGAAAAATGTTCAAAATGTCTCATAATGTTATGCAAAGAAAATGAAGACATGTAAGTTTTAGTGTTCATGGACTTCTTGTGTGCTTCTCCTTCCCCAGGTCAATCACATCTCTCCGGAGTGAACTGATTCCACATCTGGTTAGGAAACAGTTCTCTTCTCCTACCTCATTGGAGCAAGGACTAGACAACAAAGATGATGACCAAAAGAAAAAAGAACAAGCATCCCTAGGTCAGTACAAGTGTCAAAGATCTGATGAAGGTTTTAAAGCCCATATGCTACAGCTGAATTATTGGGTAGAGTACAGAATTGGCCTGAAACACTAGTTTGGGGATTTTTTTTTCCCTCTTATACTTCATGATAGCAAAGATTATAGTAGATTTCTTTTTCAAACACTACTATGCATTATATAAATATTTTTGTTCTCCCTTATTTTGGTGTAAATCCAAAGCAAATCAGCTAGGTGCTCTATATTTTTTTCTTCTGGAATACAGTATAGGTAAATGCACTTTTGAAAATGTAATTTTAGGAGGGAGTTCCTAAAATTGTATAGGGCAACAGACTAAGCCTTAACCTCCCTGCACTGGGAACTGGACAGGATCTCAGATCTTGGAATTTATTTTTAGCATTTCTGCTCTCTCCTTGTGTGACCTTGGGCAAAACATTGCATCTGTCCTGCTCCGTTGGTTCCCACCTGCAGAATAAAAATAAGCACTTACTCACTACATGTGATAAAATCTGTTAATGATTGCTAAGTATCTAGCCATTCAGATGATGTGAGGCAAATATTTCCTTTCACCAACAGTATTTTAATAGTATTCCTCCTCAGAAAGTATTTCATTAAATCCTGTCTAACTTCATGCATGTGTGTGTTCTCCAGACATTTATAGCTTCATAAAGGAAGATAATAGCTTGCTGAAACCTGCTTCAGATAACTCTTGTTGGAATGATCATAGAGGAGATATGAACGAATCTCTCCATGAAGGAAAAGTGCGCTGCTATGTCCATATAATGAAAGAGGGACTGTGCTACCGAGTGAATACTCTTGGGTTGTATATTGAAGCTAACCGACAGGTAAGAAAAATACAGAACTGCCACATGGGAACACAGCAGTAGTTTATGGGACATTTTAGCTTCCAGGAGTGGCTCCCAGGGATATAGCTGAAGAGTGTGTAGGAATTGAACCAGTGCCATGTTCTCTAGGCACATCATCCTACTGGTTGCTGGATAGGGACATGAGGCCAGGAAACAGTTCTGTCACTAATTTACTCCATAGCTTTGATTTAGCTAAGAAAACCCCCACCCCACACACTCCTGTTTTTTTGAGGGTGGCAAAACCTGCAGCCAAAGAGCCAAGAAGTGTGGAAAATGAGGCTGGAAGTAGCTTTGGTAGATCATCTAATCAATGTCCTCCATGTCCTAAAAGCAAGATCGGTTCTGACTGGACACTTCCTTCTAATAGATGTTTATCTAAGTGATAATGAGAAAAGGTATTAAAGATTTGCAGGAAGACTTAAACTACGCATACATTCAAATTGCCTAATGCTTTCCATTATGAAAGAATTATGTTATGAACAGGTTTCACTACGGTGGCACTCCAGGTAAACAGAGATGAAATGTTGATGTGTTGTAGCTTTCACTTTCACACTACTGAGGATTCATAAAACAAAAGATCACAGGGAAGGATTAGAGAAATCCTGTACTAGCTAATGAGCTGATGACGTACAGCTTCTAATATGTTTGGGGGGGGTTGGGTTTTAACTACACTGGCTGATGCAATGTACAAGTTCTCACTTCACTCTGCTAGTGATGAACTTTGTTGCTATCAGAAGTGGACTGTTTCCTCTAGGTTTGAAAAAAAGGGAAAGACTCAAGATTTCTGGAAGTGGGGCTGGGAGAGTGATAAAGTTGTATTGAGAATCCTGGAAGCAGTGGCTGCCTTGCCTTTGCTCCCAGATTGAGTTGATTTCTTTTTAATAAAATGAATGGATGAATTTATGCAAATCAGAATTGCAGTATGGCAGAGTGAGTTCACACACTAGAGCTCTTTCTCCTTGGTGTCTGTAGAGGAGCACAGAAATAAAGTGATTTGTTTTGCAGTTAGGGACATGGGGAAGAGAGGAGGGAGGCAGTACTGCTGTCAGAAAGGGAAAACTTTCCCCAAGAATATCAGGAACAAGTGTGCCCAAAGGGTTAAGGGAGAACACTGCTTGCTAGGGGAAGTGTGCGTGTACATTTGGCAGCAGCCACTTCAGTAAAAAGTTATTGAGTTGAGCCAGTCAGACTCCGTGTGGGTTTTTTTGTGTTGGTTTGTTGTTTTTTTTAAAACCTAAATATTCTACATTTTGGTCAGTTCAGGAAGTGTGTTTGCTCCTGGGTGGTACATAGAATTAGTGTTTTGAGATCACATGGGGCCTTCAACATTGGAAAGGATTTTCTTTGAATTTTTAACTTTTCCAGAATGGTAAAATTTCTAAGGAAACTATGTGGAGGTAAAACATAAAATGGAGCTTAATGAGGGGTTGTGAGAAAGGAGTTCCTTTTTCCAGTGCCACTGCATTTTGTTTCTCTTGCTAATCCTCATAAAAGATACACATTTAATTTTATCGGCTTTTTTTTACCTGTTTTGTTGGTCTCTAAGGAAGACTTTGGTGTCTTGTTTGCTCTTATCTTGGTCTTCACAGACCAGATTCTGGTTCCCTGGCTGCAAAGCCGGGACCTATAACTTTGCTGTCCAAGAGGACAGACTCACGGAGCAGTAGCAGTGCAGTCCAGTCCAGTAGCTGTGGGAAGGAATGGCATCCTAACCCATTGCCCTTCTGGTGAGGAAACGCTTTACTCACATCATTTCACTTCCAGCTGGGTTTCTGGATGCCTGCAGCCTGTGTGTGGGCAGGTGGGTTCAGGAGGGAGTTATCTTCAATAGCAGGAAATAGTTTCTTTGTAAGATGAATTAAATCCAAACACATCTTAAACCTTCCCTTGACCCAGGCACTCCCTCTGACTCCTGCCCCCTATCTAACCTTCCTTTTCAGAGCAAAATGCTGGTAGCTTTCTTGGGTCACCCCTCAGGCTGCACTGCCATTGACTGATTCTAATAAGGGCTTTGCTCTGGCCAGTAAAATCCTTTATTTATTTCACCACGCCACCTTTCCACTGAGGACGGCAAGAGCCTTTCCTTGTTTCTTTCCCTTCCCACGGAACAACACTGGATAGTAGGAATCTTTCCAACCTACATTGTAGGTATGCTTTGGTGTGTGTTCCTTTCTATCTGTTGTGGCTGGCCCGCCTAGTGTCAGGTGAGGACAACAGCCCTTCACCAAGCCAGCATCAACCAGGTGGATTGGCCTAGTTGGTGGTGTTTTGGTAAGCTGGTGGTTTTCTGTAGTGTGTGCACCTTGGACTGAAGGATCTAACCTACTGTTGTTTTTTAAAAAACGAAGAAAACACAAGTCTAGTGGGAAGGATCATCTTCAAGATGTAAAGAGCTACAGATGTGGAAATGTCTACTGGGGACAACAGGCAGCCTGAAATGATAGCTCAGAGGTGTGAGCTCATCTGAGCTAATCTCACTCATCTGAATGAAGCATCAACTGTGAAAATTCTTCTCATATGAAAAACAACACTATTTATCAATCCTTGCATGCTGGAAGGGAAACGGGCTGGTCGTATTATGAATATCCAAACAATTTCCTGCAAGTATCATCTCATTTGAGATCTTGAGATTTTTTTTTTCTGATCTGATCCCAACTTCTCCAGTTCTGTGGGATCTGCTTCTTGAGGTTCACTCCCTAGTCATCAGCTCTTGTAATCCCAGCTTTCTAAGGAAGTCATTTTACAAAACTGTACTGTATGGCAGCTCCTTTATAGCAGCTTTGGAAATTTCTGGCAACTCTCAGCCAAATTTAACAGAGTAATAGAGATCTCAAAGATAAACTTTCCTAAGGGTTTTTTGAAAATAGGTTCCTGGGTAGAGAAAAGAAAGACTTAATGAGTGCCACTTCCTCGCCTCAGGCAAATCCAGTTACACCATCACTGTGCTGAGACTCCAGTTGACCTCCCAGATGGACAGTCAGTGCATACATCCTGGCTGGCCAACAGCACGTGTTGAGCTCGGCACCAGCCCGGGCACACACTGCCTCGCACTCAGGCATATGATTTGCCATGACATAGACCTCTTAGCGCTCATGCATCACTTCGCCACTTTCTGTATCTCCCAAGTTTCTTTGATTGCCATCTCTGTCCTACCAAGATGCATCATACATTGCATTGCTGCTGCAAGTAACTCTGTACAGCACTGTGTCTGTGCATTGCTGTGAGACTCCAGCCTCCCTTGAAATCCCCATCCGTGCTGTCATCACCTCTTCTGTGGTGTGTGACCTTGGCCCCAGCCTGACGCCAGGAGATGCAGAATGCCTCAGGCTGCTCTTTCACCCAGAAAGAGAGGAATGATGGAGTGATATCCCATCCTTCTACAACACTGGCTCCCCTTTCTTTTCATGAGCCAGTTCAGAATTGCTCTCCATGGATTTGTTCTTGGCTACCTCATGGGCCATGTCTCTCTCTATTACCGTTGTGGCTTTGTCTGCTTATCTAACACCTGCCTTCTCTCTGTCAAGAGCCTTTTCTTCTTCAGCTTTCTACCATCTGGAATAGCCACTTGATCAACTTCAGCTTCTTTCTCCTTAAACATCTGAAATGCTTTTTTGTTGCCTGTACCTCAGCATGCTACCTTATTGAGTGGGCTTTTTATGCCAGTTTACTGGTTTATATTTGATATTACTTGTTTCCCTCTCTTGCATTACTGAATGGTGTAAAACACGTTGAACTGCATTTGAAATGGCAGATGCTGGACATTGTAGTAATGTACAGGATGTCACTGTGTTCAGCTGGAGCCAGCCTGCTTGCTGATGATGATCCACTGCTTCTCTACAGGTGGGAAGCTGAGTTGAGAGGAGACATGCAGTGCACTGCAGTGGAAGTGTACCTGTCTCCTTTACGAAAGGAGAAGATGATAAATCACACATATCTGGTTGCAGATTTAAAATGCAGGAACCTACATTTTCCTTTAAGTTACAGTGTTTACGGTAGATGCACTAGTGCAATGGAAACCAGAGCCATCTTTGAGCTGTTTATGTAACATGCACATACAGCACTGTCATGTTAACTGTTTTAATATGGGTTTTTCCATCCAGGTTCCCAAGCTATTGCTTCATCTGGGTCTGGAAGAGCCACTGGTTCATGGGTCTGCACAGATCACTGACAGAGGCATGGTAAGTGTTCCCTTTCCCCGTGTCTGCTCTTTCAATATAGTCTGCACACCCTTTGCTTCAACTGCTTCCTAAAATTCAGTCCCACTGTTGGAAGTGAAGCTGAGTTCTGAAGTGTGGAATTACAGTGTAGGTGATACAGCCCAGACTCTCCTCACAGGCTTGCCCATGGGTTCCTGCCTTTCAGTCTTTGTTGTTAAAAATGTTTGGTAAAAATTCTCTCTTACTCCCAAGTCAGACACTGCAGTCTCTTGTTCCCTAATGGCAGTTCATGGTAGTTGAGCAGTTTGCCTCCCAAAGGACACCAAACTCAGAAGGGGCCAGTATTTTAGCTCTGCTTCTTCCTAAAGTGTTTTGGTGGAATACCAGCTTCAAGCCTCCTTTTCAGAGGAGCAAACCTTAGTGAAACCAGTGAGTACCAGCAGGACTATTCTTACTGTGCTTACCTTACTGCGTGAGGCCTACAGAGCTGGACCAGCTAATGGAGTTTTACCAAGCTAATGGACCTTGGGAAGACTGTCCAACTGTCTGCCTATGGGATGGCCCCCAAATTCCTAGGTCTTTCCTCTGCCAAGGATCCCTAAGGGTAGAGCAGGGTACACTTTGTTGATGAGTGCTTGAGATGTGCTGTTTGGAAGAGGTGTAAGGAGAACACATCGGAGAGCTCCAGGTACTTTTGCCAGTTTCCACTCTTTTCTTCCCTAGGTTGGATCGGACAGCATCATTGGGTCATCCACACAAGTCGGGGAGAAGACATCCATTAAACACTCCATCATTGGCAGCATGTGTACCATAAAAGACAAAGTTAAGATAACAAACTGCATCATCATGAATTCTGTTACAATTGAGGAAGGGTATGTCACCTCTTCGTATCTCGGTCCCCTAAATTTGCAGTTTCTTTTTCTAGATAAACTCTGAGTCCATAATTTTTGTCTTGTAAGCGATCCTCAGCCAGAACAGTTGATCCCAGGGGGTATGTTTCTAAAGACCGAGTCAGAAATAAACCTCTATAAACAGGCTACAAATGCACCAGTGAAATGAATTAATGAGAGGGCCGCAGTCTTGGAACATAAATTTGTTCTTTTTGGAGAAGATTATATCATCTTCAGAATCTATAAGTAAGTTAAGTGGATGTATGAGTCTGTATGAGCTTGTGTGTCATCCTTCCAAGCTTTATCTGAGTGGCTGGGTCTGTGAGTATACCTAAAACATTTGAGACAGGAAACATATTTTGAAGTGTTACACTTAACAACTAGACATGTTCTTATCACCTTTGAACATTACAGCTTAACCTAAAATGTCATTTTCTTTGGCCCTTTTTCGTCATCTTGTAGCTTTATTTTACCATTGTGTATGCTGAGTAATAGAATAAATTAATAATCTTTTCAAAGAGAAAATCTGCCAGCTAGTAGAGGTTTCCCATGCACTAAAGATACTAACTAAATAGGTAGCCTTGAGCTGTTCATTTCCAAATGTGGGAAAAGTGGCCTATCTGTAATTGTTGATGTCTGCATGCCCCCATCTTTCCATACATGCTGGCTTCCTGTGGATGTCAGTGGAAAGGAAACTGCTGATTGAGTCTGTGCAGGCCTGTATAAATTCCCTGCTCTTTCATGGCTTGAGGTTTGCTTAGGGCCTCAGGAAAAAGGCCAAACTCTTAAAAAATGCCAAGTTGGCTCTGAAAGCTGCACATCTGAAAAACAAAAAACCCCAAAGGATGTGGGGTCTATGGAGGATACTACTGTTACATAACTAAATTACAGGTAAGTATGGTACCTTACTGCCAAGTGTTTGTCTTTAATAGAAATCCACAGTAATTTCAAGCACATCATAAATCAGAATTCCGTTGAGTATAGAAAATAGCTGGTTTCCAGTTCAATCGCAAATGGATCCAGTATGGCTGTATCACAAAATGCGGCTGTCATAAGAAGTACCAGAACCTCTCTCGTTTGATCATGAGACCCTCTGTCATTTTGATTAATGAATTGATGCGAGTCATAATGGTATAGTTTTGCATATGAAGTGAGCAGCTCTACCGTTAAATCACAGAGGCAGCTACGTGTGTAAATAGTGCTATTTTTATGAAGAGTCCCAAATCAGCTTGTGTTTGTCTGCACTGGTATATGGTAATATTCTCTTCTAAATCCTAAATCAAGCTCAGAGTCATTATTTTAAGCATTCCCCAAAATTCTATAAGCATCATAAAGGTGGTGATGCTTATTTTTTTAAGAGGGAAAAACTAACTTTTGGGGTAACATTTTCGTGAATTTCTGGAAAACAGTGTAATCCCTGGTCACTCTCAGTGAAAACAATGTAGCCACTATTGAGTGAAAAACCTCAGTCCCAGGGGTCAACCCCCTTAGCTGCTCTATGGTTACTGCACACTGATGCACTGGAGTCCAATTTGTAATTATTCCTCTCCAGCCAGAATTAAGATTATGGACCATGGAGCTTTATTTCAAAGCCTGTTGTAATTCATATTATGTAGATCTGCAGAGATACTGAACTGATAAAGTATTTCTTGTTGCATCATGGTAAGTCTTAAGATTAGAGGGGTATGAAGTCATGCATACACAGGTAGCGAGATACAGAAATATTCTAGCTGCTGAGTCTTGTTGAAAGAAGTCTTGCTTGTAACTTAGTGAAGAATTTCTATGTATTTTTACCCTCTTTCATGACTTTGATTAAATTTGATAGATTTTTGTTAAAATGCTAGTGAATCTTACATGTGTTGATGGATCCATTTGCAACAGGTGGATAAATTATATGTGGTTTTGCTTTAAACTGCCCACAGTGGACAACTTCTCTCTTCTCCCAAGTGTCTCTAAAATAACTCAGGCTTTATCTAATCACCAACTTCAGAAAATGTCTTGGACTTTAATTGGGAAGTCAGTATATGTTGGCTGATATGGGTCAAAATGAGCATAATAAAGTGCCTTAACAGATGAATTTCATTTTTTTGTTGCATAGCAAATGTCCAGTAAGTAAGCCAATTTTAACACTGTCTAAGGTACTGTATATTAGAAACTTCTGGAATTGCACTGAGAAGTGGATAAAAACTGTGTCATTTAAAGAATACACATTTTAATACTGACAGGAGCAGCTCCACCAAACTAATGGACTACTATATTAATGCTCTAGTCAAATGTGAGTGGTAACTTGAAGGCTAGTCCCAGCAGTGTTCATTGCAATAATACCAACTTGAAGCAGTAGGCTGAGAAGACTGCAGTAGGGCATATATTATGGAAAAGACAAAGCTGTTTAGATAACCCAGAGAAGACAGAAAGATCGGGTAAATAATTTCTGAAAGTTGGGAGACTGGGAACAACCAAAGGCAAAAATTGCTCCACATTCTAAGTTCATTTATCAAGAGCTATGATTATACATGGCACTGCCTTGGTAATTCCCTTACCACTTACACCACCTCTAGCTTCTCTGGGTTGAATCTTACCTTTCCTTTTTTTCTTTTTTGTTTTTTGCCCCATCTCAGCTGCAAAAGTGATCAGCAGCTTCAGTTCACTATGTCAATACAGGAAAACAAAACAAAACATACGAACAAAACAACAACCAAAAAAACCCCAGATTAAAAAGTTTTATCTCTTGATGATTTTCCTGTAATGTGATTTGAGGATCCTGTGCCATAAATCCTGTGGCTTCAAGATCTACAAATTACATCTCCAAACCAGCAAAAGATTTTGAACAGCCTCACCACATTTGATACCAGCTTCTGAAATGGATAAATAGATTCTTTCTGGGCAGATGGGAACACCACAAGGTGCTTAGAACAAAACTAGGTTCCTGTTGTTAGTCTGTGGTTGGCTCATTATTGGAGAAACAGAGGTTATGACCTAGGTGGTGATGACCTTCCCAACTGAATGGATCAAGGAATTGGGGTTAGCTTGGACAATGCCATTACATACTGTTTGCAAATTATAATCCGTTCTCCAGCAATGGCTGGTGTGTTCGATACTCTGGAGGACCAGTAGCAGGAGTTTTTGTTTTCCCTGGTGGGTAGAGCTTCTGTTACGTTATATATGTCTCCTGTGAAGTGATTTGAGTAGATACGAATCCACCCTTAGAAGAGATTACAGGGGATTAAAGAAGTTAGTAACACGGGCAAAATAATTGGTAGACCTTTCTTAATGTGTTTCCCACTGTGCAGCTAATTCTTCCATCAGTGAGACAATAAAATAGTGAAGATTACATACGTGCTGAATGATGGACATACTTGACCAAGCTGGGAGGGATGTAATTTATACAACAGCGCAAGTGCTGAGAGATGCTGACTGCCCAGGTGACAGGTTGCAGCGGGGAAACGGTTCTTGTTTCCCTCTGGACGGCTCCCCAGAGCTCAGTGACAAATGACTGCACTGAGTTACATAGCTGGAGAAAATCTACTAACTGAGCTGAAATTATAGGTCACTTGAAAACTTGGTATATCTGAATGCTCCTGCAGTAGCTGTACTTGTCCTCAGTCTCTGTAGTATCTTGGGGCTGCCCCTTCTGTTTGTTCTGTTTGCATTAGAGGTGGTGCAGTAAAACAGGGTCCCTGGATTCCTATGCTTTTGGGGCAGGAGTCCCCTCATTATAGCTTGCTTGCAAAGGAGCAGTCTGTAACACTGGCAGACTGACTGAAGCTGGTTATGTAGGGAGATTGTGCCATTTGCAAATGAAAAGTGATGTCCCTGATATATTAACTCCACCCTGATATCTTCATAGAACAGAAATTAATGCTGTTGGGGCTTGCAGACAATCTCATAACTAATTATGCTGACCTGAAGTGTGATAACTGTGTTTCATTAGGTATACTCAGGCACGCTTAGCTTCCTTGAAATGCGACTTAGATATGGATGGATGAATTCAGCTTCAGGTTCCTGTTTTGGCTTTATTTTTACCAGCCCTGTAGTTTTACTTAGTTTGTCAGCTTCTGGCAGCATTGCTCTGGTCATACAGGACCTTGTGCCGAAGTGCTCTGAGCATTACAAATAATATTAACAGGAAAAACATGTTGAATCCTTTATTCCATCCCTGCAGATAAAGATTTCGAAATCTTCTGTTTGTTAGTAAAACTATCTCAGTGTATACACTTACTGAAATGAGCTTGGCCATTTTGTCATGTGTGCAGTATATCCTTCTTCCTTGGAGATGGAAAATTAAAGCTTCCCTGGGAAAGATTCAAGAGATGTAGTAGGGAAAAAAAATGCCCTGATCTTTGGACTACTTAGAGGTTAGTTGAGGAGGCAAGCATGAAAAGCTCGGATAAATATCAAGTCCACAGTAAGCCATGCTTTGAAATGGTCTTGTTGACATGCTGGTAGCCAGTACCATAGGGGCTCTGTGGCAGATTTAGTCTCTGAAATGAAGTATTTTGCTGCTTTTCTTTTTCCAGGGAAATACAGGAAAGCAGTATGCTTCAAAAGATGTTTTTATGGAAATCATAAATAGGCTGCTGTGATTATCAGAGGGGGTGACAGCAAGATGCAAATGGCTCAAGATTTGCATCAGGATTTTACCTCCACAGCTAGGAAGTACCAGATCTTCACAGAGTAACCAAGGAAGCTCAACCTGTCTCACCTGTAATTTTTTCAGAAAAACTGCTCATTAGGGATGATCATTTTTGGACAATGGAAAAGATAAAACGAAATGTCTGTTCATCTGCCTGGCACAGGCCAGAGAATTTTAGGCAGTACCTGCTGAGTTAAACTCAGCAGCTGTGACTTTAAAAGATGGCGATCTTCTTTGAAAATCACAAACAATTTGAAGTCTATCGACCATGTTGGAAAGCTGTTCCAATGTTCATTTTAGTCTCCCTAACTATTTCCATTTTTAATGTATAGACACACACCTCTGATCC